GGAGAAAACCGCCAACATGACCTACGCTTTATCTTAGAGTTTACGCAATAGGCTGTGCCAGAATGAGGTGGATCCATATGGTTTGTGATCCTCTCTTTGAAGTGAAGACTGGCTAGCAGGGCGGATCCATTCCATGGTAACCGAGCCCAAGAGAATTATGTTGACTGGTAAATTCCACCGCGGCAGATCCGTGTTCGATACACACAGATCACGGAAGACAAGTCTCAAAGTGATTCGAAAAAATGAACTCCAACTCCCTTCCATAGCTATCTTAGCAAGTCGCATAGCACTTTTTCTCTCTCCATCCCTTCGAATAGCATGACGCATAATGCATCAGAAAATCACCTAAAACATATTGTTCTCTTTGGCAATGCAGGACTGAAAAGTTGCATTGTTGGACTTCCGCGTAATTTGACTCGGTGCTTGTCTGTGTTGAAGGAAACTACTTTATATCTAGCGCCATGCAATGAGTTCATTGTTGCGGAACTCTGGTGCAGTTTTTTTGTCTCCAATCCCCCGAATTCGGAATGCCACCTTTGCTTTTAGCTGGCTCCGGTTTGACGCAACGGGTCACCAGAAAGGCCAGGAACCACTTACGAAATTTATGGTCCTTACATATAATTTGCTAGACCCGTTTGATTATGTACCGGAGAAATGCTGTTGTATATCTTCAGAGGCTGATAGTCTCGAAATCCATTTGACTATTTTACGTTGGCTCACTTTAACCTAAGCGGTTCCCCACTCCTGCTGCGATAAATTTACGGTACAGGTCCCATTTGTCCACAAAGACCATCAGCAGTGCGTCGTTATCTCTTACCGACCATTCACTACGACGTGACCAACAGGGGCTACATGCCGACTGAGCTACTGCGAATTCACCCGTACCCATGCAGATTCGATCCGGTGACCCGTGCTACAGTTCGAGCGACTAGACCACTCTGTCACTGATCGGCATGTCCATTGTTTCGATTGCCACCCTCCTTTTGACTATCACAGCGACCATAGGCTGCTGCACACGCATGCAGGTCGTCACTTGGTCGCCAGTTCCTCGTCGGACAATTGGATGATGTCTACTTCGAACCATTGGGCGTTTGGCTCACTGAATGCTATTTTCCTTTCCGCAGCCGTGTAAAACTTTGCCACAGAAACCGATGTTGACTTTCAATGATCTTAGAGGCAGCGATGGTGTCATCTGCCGCTTGGTATACTGTTCTATCAGGTTAACAATAAACGACTCTGTGAGAGGATTGTTGTGTTCTCCGAGCTAGACAATTTTGTTGCAGGCGTTTTGTTGCCAAACTAGGCATTATCCTCAGTGAGGCTATAGGGGTCTGATTTGCAGTCTCGTAAGCCACTGCCAGATCCAAGTGACTTGTCACATCCAAATTCCACGCAATCGGTTGGATTCTGCACCTGTGGGGGGCGATGCCCCGAACTGACCTCCCGTTGTTCATCGCATGGATTGTCCTGTTTTACTATCACACACATGCACTTCTCTATGACGTCGTGCCCATGTGGTCATTTTTCAAACTGTCATTGAAGGATGCTAGTTGTTGTTTGGTGGCAGGTCATTTGGTGCCGTCAGTTTTTCTCAAATTGCCTGTATCGACCATAGTATTTTTCCCTCACAGCCATCCACATCAATATGTGCTGCTTACGGACAGTGTTTCCAGTTGTGGGTGAAGCCGCAGAGTCATCATCATCATTACACGTTAGCTGAAGGTGGAAAACACCTCAGCTATTGTGCCACAATACAAAAGACAAGAAAAGGAAAACAAACAGTGGCACGCCCGCTGAGTCCCCAGTAACGGATGGACATCGTTCCGGAGAGCTAACAGCTGGCTGCCGTAAAAGAGAGTCATATTATGCCTAACGAGTGAGATCGTGATTGGAGGGGGATGCTAAGCAGGAGGGGGATGAACAAAGGAACTCACAACACAAACGCCATTGGGGCCGGCTCCAAGCCATATCATCAAGTGTGTCCAACCAAACGTGTTCACCGTCCTTAGGACCCCAGCCAGGCAGTCGGGATGCACCAACCGACGCCAACTTCGAAGTGAGGGTTTTAATCTCTTTCGACCAAGTCATCACTTGGCCTCCCCTCCTCCTCTTCCAACCGCACCCACAACGCGCAAACAAAGCACTTCGCGGAAGTCGGTGTGCTGGCATGCGCAACACGTGGTCCAGCCATCAAAGCCTGGTGCGTGATATAATGGTGCTGAGCGGTTCACTCGCTTTTCCTGAACCAAATACGCGACGTCGAACTCGCTCATTGCTCACGTGGTGCTCCCACCAGACATGAGCTAAGCTGCGAAGGCAGCGATGATCGATGTGACGAGCCTCTTTATGTCTGTCGACCTTATGGGCCAGGTTTCACAGCCATATAGGAGAGTTGAACGGAGGGCTGCGTTATAAACTCTACCCTTCAGGACGAGAGTGATGTCGGGTCTGCGCCACAGGTGGCGGAGATTGGCAAAAGCACCTCGAGCTTTCGCTATACGGTTCGTAACCTCATCTTCAATCCCACGGGTGCTAAATTAGCTGCCCAGGTACTTGAATTCCTGAACGACTTCTAGCAGATCACCACCAAGCGTTAGCGCAGAGTTGGGTCCCTGCCAATTTTGGAGAAGTACTTTGCATTTCGATGAAGCAAAGCATGGCCCAAAACGATTGACAGCCAGTGCTAATCGGTTCAGTGCTGCTTGGCATGTTTGGGAGCTATCACAGATTAGGGCAATATCGTCCGCATACTCTTAGTCAAGAAGTCGCTCACCAGGAAGTAGTTCCACACCTAAGTCGTGTCCAGCGAACGCTGTTTCCATGAATTCATCAATAGTGAAGTTGAAGAGGAAAGGTGACAGCGGGCATCCTTGTCTCACATCGCTGGTGATACTGAAGTGTGGCGACAGTTTGCCATAAACCCTCACCCTGCCCGAACTATGCGCGTACAGCGCTTTGATAATGTTTGCATATTTATCAGGTACACCTTTCCTCAGCAGACAGTCCCAAGGGGCACATCGCTCGACTGAGTCGAAGGCACCTTTTATGTCAAGATACATGGCAACGGTGGGTCGCCAATAAACATGGCGGTGCTCCAATACTTGACGCAAGGTGAAGATGTGGTCGATGCAGCTCCGACCTCGACAAAATCCGGCTTGCTCTTCACGAATCTGGCTTTCACGAGTGCCAGTCAGTCTGTGGAGAATGACAGAGGCAAGCAATTTAGAGGCAATCGAAATCAGACTGATCCCTCTATGATTGCCGCATTCCAAACGGGAGTTTCCCTTGAAAAGTGGGACATTGACGGAGCGGTTCCAGTCTGTCGGTACTGTCTCCTGCTCCCAAAGTTTTACTAGCAACTCGTGTAAATCATCTACTAGAGCAGGTCCCCCGAATTTGAAGAGGACTGGGGGAATTCTATCTGCCCTTGCCACCTTATGCAATTTCAGCAGCCTGATCTCACGTTCGACTTCTGCGCGTGAGGGCGGATCCAAGGAGACGGCCCAGGGAGAAGCGCGCTCAATGCCAGAAGAAGAAAGCGATAACTCATGTTGGTTAAAATGCCTTGCAAAGTGTTCAGCCCAACGCTCCAAGCGTTTTGACATTCTGTGGATCGGCTGCCCACTCTCGTCGCGTATGGTCTCACTAACACCAGGTCTCCTGCTGCCTTTTTCCCGTATCAGACGGAATAACTTACGATGATTACCAACGGCGGCGACTGTTTCCATCTCAGAGGCACGATGAGACCACCAGGTTTCGCGGTCCTTCTTCAGGCTAGCACGTGGTTTTGCCCTGAGATTTTTGCGAGCCTCATTGTATTTGCTTCCAGCCGGAATACATCGGCGAGCATCCATAAGTTCCAGAGACTGTGTAGAGACCCAATGTCCGGTTTGGCAATTTGCTTTGCCACATGAAGGCATGCCTGCTAACGGTAACGCTTGACGAATATGCGACCAGTGATCTTCAATGGTATTTAGTGGGCGCTTGCTCAGCCCAGATGTCAGCGCACTTTGGTACACATTCAGAACATCTGGCTTCGCCAGCTGGCTGGTGTCCATCCGTTCACATCGTCGTTGCGGACGTCCACCGAAAGGCACCAGGTGGTCGGCACAGATAAATGCGTGGTCAGAGTCCACGCTCGTGCTCCAAATCGAGCGGCAGTTTTGGACACAGCCTCTCCAGCGGTAACTGATCGCGAAATGATCGATTTGCGTCCATGGCTGGCCCGAGGCTGGTGGCCGCCAAGTCACGCTTCTGCGGGTGCTGTGTCGAAAATTAGTGCTCGCGAGAAAGAGGCGAGCATCTTCACACAGCTGTAGAAATCGCTCTCCATTATCATCATCATTATGAAGCCGCAGAGTAAGGACATAGTTACCACTCACGAAGTGCTCTATCAGACTATTGATTCCCTCCCCCGTTTCAACCATTCTCCGTTGTGCTAACTTCCTGGTTAACCTCATACCTACTAACGTGCTTAGTAAGTCGCGGCGCTGCTGTGATACTGTTAAGTTGTCCCTACACCCGCTTACTCGCTCGTTACTTTTGTCTCTTCCATCGGATTAATTTTTTCCGTTTTTAATCTTTTTCAATTATTTCCACTTTTTCCATCATCACGACGATGTCTGAGTAAAGCCAGTTAAATCCAGTTCGCCCTTGTTTCTGAATCCCATTTGCGTTACGAACCGGCTAGAGTGAATCCAAGCCTATCTATGTGTGGTTGGCCTGAAGAGTGGTGCCGCCCATATGAAACCATTTGTATTTGGGTCAACTTCTTTCTAATTACATTTGCTGCCCTCAGTGTACAGTTGACGCGGCGTCCCATCTGCTTACACCGCGTCCTTCCCAGGGCAACGTCAACAATTCCTGGCATCTCTGTATTTCCTTCATGGCATGGTTGAACAGCTGCCTCTCGCTCAGTCGTTGACTTTCTCTGTCTTGTCGCGCACTATCCCACAAAGACTCAATTTTTCAGCACTCGATCTATCCATTTTCCCTTCCAGATGCGGGGTCCCCACTAATCCCATCGGCGTTTTTCCACAATGTCATCCAACAACAACAACAGTTTGGAAATCACTAATTTGGATAGCCTGCGTGATCCATCGGGAATTTTTTCACTCATTGAGGTGGTTGGAAAGGGCACCTATGGCAATGTGTACAAAGGTCGGCACACACGTACCGGACAGCTTGCAGCGATCAAGGTGATGCCCATCACGGAGGAGGATGAGGAGGAGATCATTTTGGAAATCAACACGCTTCGAAAGGTAAGGACCCCGTTTGAGGCATTTCCTCATTATCCTCTGCTCATGTACACTCCTTCGAAGCTAAGGGCTTTGAACCATAGTGGTATATTTAAAGCAATTAATTCCCCTTAATAATTGGAAAACTACACTAAGAGGATGAAGTGTAGCAGATGCATGCATTTCGTATCGTCTCTTCAGTGCCGGAAACAATAACTCATCATCATCAACAGCATTGCGTCAGCCAGTTAAACTGATGCTTCGCTGCCATCCAACCATAACGACCTACGGAACAAGAATAATAAGAGGAAGAGAAGGGAGACTTACCCGAAAATCTAAGCAAACATTCAGGGTCTAGGCGCCTACACCTTGTGTCAGCAACCTACCGTCACAAACAGCTGGCTATCGTGCAAAGATAAGGCGACATCGACGAGACATCTTCCTTGCGGCTTTCACTGCCCCGCGTCATAATCAGCCATTAGGTCGCAGATAACACAACACCAAACGCACTTTAAACAGGCAGACCGACTAGGAGACGGCAGCAGGTGCGCCACTGATGTCGACTGTGGGCCATGTCCTGTAGTTTCGATGCAAGCACAAGGCGAGTCACGTGGACTCCTGCCTGGAAGGCGAGACCGACCGACGACACCCAGTTCAGTCTTCAGGGACTTCATTTCCCGCTGCCAAGTCAACTTGTGTCCACCTTAAGCCTTGCGCCACCCTACATCTGGCGGACAACACAAGGCCCTCCTCGGTAAGCGGTGATCTTGCATGCGTAGCACGTGTCGAAACCAACACAACTTATTCACTTATTTAGTTCTAAGGCTTTAGTATCACTGCCTAGTACTCGCCTACGCACATCATTGTTGCGGACACCTTGGTGCCATCCGACACCAGCAATGCTCCGCAGACAGCGATGATCAAAGACTTGAAGGCGCCTCAGCTTAATCAGGATTGTTTGCGCCGCCCCAGCATCGTTAAACCGTAAGACGATATCGTCCGCATAATCAAGATCAACTAGCTTTTCACCAAACAGCATAACGCCTGCATCGTAAGACTCCGCAAGGTAACATTCCATGGTAAAGTTGAACAAAAATGAGGAAATTAGAAAACTCTGACGAACATCACTTGCCGTAGGAAATCTATCCGACAGGTCACCGTAGACCCTGACGTGGCCTGTAGTGTTTGAGTATAGAGCACGGAAGATGTTCATATATTTCGTGGGATCACCTTGCAGCGCAAGTATTTCGAACAGAATGCATCGATCTACTGAATTGAACGCACTCTTAAGTCTAGGAAAACAGCTATTGTCGGCCTGCGGTATGTGTGGCGCTGCTCTAGCATCTGCCGCAGAGTGAATATATGACTTATACACCCGTGTCCAGCGCGGAAATCTGACTGCTATTTTCTGTTCTGTGCCTTCCGTTCCGCATTGAGATGACGAACGAGAATTGAAACCAGTACTTTTGTAACAACTGGCGTTAGGCTAGTGCCGCTGTGGTTAGCACACTCGGTGCGACTGTCCTTCTTGCATATTTCCACCACAATCGATTCACTCCAATTAGTCGGGACGCTCTCTTCCTTACAAACATGTTCGAACAGGGTCAGTGCTCTGCAGAGGACCTCACCACCATCCTTCAATGGTGCAGGTGTGAGCGAATCCGGGCCAGCAGCACGAAAACGATTGAGGGCCGTGATCTCGTTTCGCACCTCAGATTCCGATGGATCCTCTAAGCTAATCGTCCATCGTTCAGCCTGCATCACCTGAGTAGGAAGACGTCCAAACGTATGGGGACAACTGAACTACTCTCGAAAATGCTCAGCCGAACCAGTCATACAGCGCTGCTTATTGTGAATCATGGCACCCTTGCTGTTTCTGATTATCTCACTGACGCCTGGTTTACTGGGATCACTGATGCGAATCAGCTGGAAGAGCTTCTGCTAATTCCTTATTGCTCCTTCTTCCTCCATTTTTGAGCCCGATTAGTCCACTGGGAATGAAATACAACTGTTAAGTGATACAAACGGTGTCAACAGTATGACGGTTCGCATTACCGACACTTCGCTGCCGTGCAACCAACAACAATCGCGCATGGCTTAAGGATACTGCGAGGCTCTCCCGGCCCCTTATGCAGGCTCGTATCCTTGACCTCCGGAGTGCAAGCAGGCTTGTGATCCTTTAGTCCATCTTCCAGCCTAAGGATGAAACGAAAATCACGCCCCTAGGTCCAAGACAACCTACGACTGACTGTTAATTGCTTTTGAACACAAGCCTCGGCTTATTGCAGCAGCCTCGGCAAAGCGGAGAAGGCGGGAATTGGTATGCTTCAGCAAAACTTTGATTGACATGCTGACTTCGGTCCGGTGACCTGAGATCAATAAGTGCCTGCCGATCGAAAACGCTGGCGACCTATGTGAATACGTAGCCTGAGTTGAGCATGCTTGTCGAGCCGCCTCATATTGGATCCACTTTGGAAAGTGCTCCTTCATCCGGGAACTCGAGGTTTTATGGGTTCTGTCTATTCAACTAGCTCAGCAGTTGCATACGAATTGATTTACACCATGTCATTTGGCTCCGATATGCTGAGATCCTTTAAGTAGAGGGACGGTAGCTATCTATTTTTGCTGACGCATATCTAACGTATTCATTCACCTTCCTTGCAACAGCAGCGGTATTTTTACTCTTTTGATAAGACTGCTCTCTCATTGGTTTACCCGGAACATCTGCGCTTCCTACTCTCCCTTTCTGACTGAGATCTAAAACTTCATCCCACTTTCACTACTGTCGTGTAGTTCCGTTTCACTTGTGACTCGCATTGTCAAGCCTCCTCCGGTTCCCTTTCAGCTTTCCAATCACCGCAATATCGCCACTTACTACGGTGCTTTCATCAAGAAAACCTCACCTCAGGACCACCTTTGGGTAAGTTTCTTTGGCAGACGACTCGTACACTTGCCGTTGTCTTTTCTCCATTTCTGACAGACCACCTCGGGGTTTCAATTAAGCAAGGTTAAGTATTACAATGTGTTATTTGCGAAAGTATTGCGCGCCTGAATGGAAAAATGGATCCTATTGCCTAGTCAGCATAACTTCCACAGAACTTTTAGTGTGCCACCGGGGGCCACACGATCGCTGGCGTATGTTTGCGGTTCGATTCATTTCGTACTTTCATTACAGCTTGAAAACAATCGGTTGTTTTCAAACCCTTTTGAAACCGTGGGTCCTCAATTTGTCTCAAGCATATTTCAATACAGTTAAGCCTCCGTACGTTGATCACTCAAAGGGCTGGACATAAAGTAGTTAACATACTGAGGTCTGGATTCATAAGGTTTACTTGATGAATATTCAAACTGTGCACAACTAACCGGTTACTTTAGAGAGGCGATCAACTTTGAGGTTTTTCTGAATTTGTAATTTATTCCACTTGCTCAGCTACGAGTGTGCTCCGTACACTGAAGCGTGGTGGATCGTGTCGCTATAACTCATGTCCCCAGTTGATAGTTATACCACCGACAGTTATAATAATAATAATAATAATAAATTCAAGACAAACAGACAGGCATTAGATTCGTCAGAAGGACTACTTCGGAGTCGGTAGCAAAGAAGCGTGTGCGAACGCCATTGATTTCGTCACCGCGTCATATTCGATAGCCACCGAGGTAACCGATCCACTATCCATGACGATGACAGGTGCCGACTGTACTTAGCCTTACCCTGTGTTCATGTTCTTTTGCCATGTCATTGACCGGCCGTCTAGGAATTTCGCCCAATTAGGCACAACACAGTTGTATAACACCCACTGAAACGATAGGGTACATGAGGTTGCTGCCAAACATCAGGTGACAGAATTCATTATTACTTATTCGGCACTTCGACTAAAATTAGCGATACTTCGCAACCATCGGTGGTCAGTCACGGTCAGTCTCCGAACATCCTCGCAGCACGACTGCCAGGTCTCTTATCGCTACACAGACGGGGGCCATACAGCTTTGCAGACCCTTTCCTTATCCAAGAGGCTCATACTCTGCCGTCTGCACAAGTGACCAAGGCGCGAGCCTTAGCATTGAGTGCGTCAACCACTTCGATGATATCTACACCAACTGAGCCAACCGATTGACAATCTCCAGCAGTTGTTACATGATAGTTGGGGACCCTGTGGTGAGTCGGCCCAGTCCTGCAGTTTTCCGTTTGAAGCTACAAAGCAACTGCTTAAGTATACCGCACTGTAACTCAGCGGCGCTAGCACATCGCATGGGTCCATTCCGAAGTGAGCTACCTCGTCCGCGCTCTCTGGGTTTGACAGTTGGTCGTCATGCAGACTCTCTACTCCAGCAATTGAAGTAGACAGGACGGAGTCACTCACCGTCATTTTGATTACATCGTTGCAGCGAAATCTTGAGATCGGGCAACCTTGAGGCACCCGGTGAACGGTTTACCATTTACTTTTACATTGCCTCGTGAGTCATGGGTTATAGGCATCAACATTACACTGGTACGCCGTACCGACATTTCGCTGCCGCGAAGCCGTCACCACTCGCGTGAGTTAAGGATACTGTGAGGGTCACGTGGTCCTCCACCCAGGCTTGAACTCGCGATCTCAGGATTACAAGACAGGCTGTAATCGTTAAGGCCATGGGCAAGGTTATCTAATTTAACGTGTAAATAAACCTATAGTTTCAGAAGGCCTGGTGAACAACCGATTGGTGTATTTGTCGGGGTCACGATGTTTCGCTTTTGATACAAGTAAGGGGAACTCACTGAAAATTGAGTGGAATTTTTTAACAAACGTGGGTACATTGCCTTCGGAGAGTACTGAACATACAATTTATTGGTCAGAGGTTATAGCGGTCAGAAGTCATTGGGTTCACGTGTACTCCGTTTCGAGAAAACTGGTCACTGACCTCGCCAGGGTCGGACGAGGCTGGTCACGAAATTTTTCTGGGTTCCACAATGCTTACCTCTGCCCTTGCTATGCCTATCATCTCTGCTAAATCAACTCCTCAACCTCCAATCACAGATCACCCTAACTCCTGTCCTTCACCTATATCTACACTTATGTCTTCTTCGACCACCTTCTCAAACGACCCACGTCTAGCAGCTGATGGGTGTAACAGCCGAACTCCCGGTTTTCAATGTCCTGCGATCGCATCCGTCTCTCACTCCACCGAAGCTCCAGCTCTTTTTCGATCTGGTTCTCTATTCATCGTCGCAGCGTTTAATGTTCGAACTTTTATGCAGATCGGACGACAATCATGTCTGGCCCGTACTCTTGAGACGCTTTCGGTTGACATCTGTTTCCTTTCAGAGACCAGATCACAAGACTCTAGCGCCGTCATCAGAATGGCCTCTCCGGTAAACCCTGACACCAACTAACATTTGCGGCTTTCCGGAGACCCAGAAGCTGCCGCCTCTGGCTAAGCTGGTGTTGGGGTTGCACTGAGTGCCGGGGCTGAATCAGCTCTGCTTGACTGCATTCCACTTAACAGTCGGCTATGTGCAGTCCTATTAAGAGATTCATATACTGTAAGCAGGTGTCGAGACGTTAAGTGTGCTTTGTTTGTCGTCTCCGTCTACGCCCCTACAGACTGCAGCCCGGATGCAGTCAAGGATAGCTTGTACCAGCAGCTACATGGATTTCTGCGTTCCTCCAAAAGGACTTATATAGTCATTCTTGCCGGAGACTTTAACGCACGGGTGGGTCACCTTTCACCAAGCCAAAATCACCTTGGGGGTAGTTTTGGCCTCGATGACAGTGGATCCGACAATGGAGACAGACTGCTTGCTCTTTGCTCTGACCATCGCTTGTTTTTCTCGAGCACTAGTTTTCGGCACTCGAGGAGATACACTGCTACCTGGCGCCCGCACTCACAAACGCATGACTGCTCCCAGCTTGACGACCTAGCAATCAGCTACAGATGGCGCGGAAGCGTAACGGACTGCCGATCATAATGGTCAACTTATCTAGACTCCGATCACGCATTCATTCGTACAAAGATTTGCAAGCGTTTCTGAGAATCACCCAGGCGCGGTCACTACCGACCGGACGTTGCAAATCTACAAAACCCTGCGATTTTAACCAGGTACCAAGCCTCACTGTCAACATTGCTTGGCTCACCTATTGACGGTGACCCCGATTCGCAATGGGCGCAGATCAAGTTTCCGCCAGTATCGACACTTGTGGAGCTGCCCGTCACCCACCGAAGCATTGGATTTTCGCCGTCTCATGGTCGCTGATGGACAAACACCGCTTGATCCTGTCAGATTCCAGCCACAGTGAAGAACACCAATCCCTGGGTCGAGAGTTGCGCAGGAGTCTGCAAATGAACCTCGAAGCTTGGTGGTGTGAACGTGCTAGGGAGGTGGAGCTTGCTAGTCTCTCTGGTAATACCAGAACACTTTTCCATCTCATTCGAGTCACCGAAGGAGTTCGATCTGGTGTAAGTGAAACAATATACGAAGAGGATGGCACCTTAATCATCAATCTACAACGACGGTTGGAGCGATAGGCCGAACATTTTGGCTCAGCCCATCTGCCCAGCCCCATCTGCTACCTCTGGCGCTCGCACTGATGCCAAGTAGTATACCCCAACAGATTCTCCCTCTCACCAAGAAATCGAGCAGTAGCTCCGCCACATGAAGCGTTACAAAGCTCACGGGCCTGATTGTCTTCCTCCATCTCTATTTGAAGATGGTGGCGCTTCGCTGATTTGAGAACTCACTGCTTTGTTCTCGAAAGTTTAGTCGAAATATCAAGTTCCATCATCTTAGGGTGAATCGATAGTCATCCCCATCTTCAAAAAGGGCCTGTGCACAATCTGCACCAACCATAGAGGCATAAGCTTAGTCCCCGTCGTTTGCAAGCTGCTGGTATTCATCATACTTCACAGGCTATCCCAACACGCGAATGGTTGCAACGAGAAGAACAAGCTGGGTTTCGCCGTGGTCGCGGCTGTATCAATCAAATCTTCACACTCCGCCAGATCCTCGAACTCCGCCATGTGTATCAGCGGCCAACGATTGCTGTGTTTTTAGATATCCGTGCAGCCATCGATGCTGTCGATCGGACTGTACTATGGCACTGCCTACTGAAGAATGGCGTCCCCGAGAAGTTCGTCTCCATACTGCACGCTCTCTATGTTCCGACCTCGAGCAGTGTTAGGGCTTATGGCAAGCTTCCGCCTTCCTTTGTGGTCTCCAGTGGAGTTTGACAAGGATGCCCTATTTCTCCGATCGTATTCTACTTTGCCATTGAGGATATCCTAAAGAACGCTCTGGGCGGTTCGTTGGACGCTGGTGTTAAGCTCCTCCCAGGTAGTCGAGTTGTTGTTTTCCATTATGCTGATGATATCTTTTTGTTAGGTGACGATCCACACGCCGTCCAACTTGCACTAAACCGCTTGGCGATTGAAGCATCAAAGTATGGTTTGTACTTTTCACCATCCAAATGCAAGGCTCTCTTTCATGACTGACAGGTGCCTGTGCCTACACTCTCTTGGTGGTGGGACACTGGAAGTTGAGGAGAGCTTTGTCTGCTTGAGAAATTGCACCACTGCTGGCGGGGCTGTAGGAGAGGAGATTTCGATGCGCATCTCAAGAGCACGCTTTGCTCTTTCTAAGCTGAGGCACTTGTGGCGTCGCCACGACGTTCGCCTTTTCTTCAAAGTGTTGGTCTATTGTGCACCTGTTCGTGCTGTATTGTTCTACGGATGCGAGACCTGGCCCATTCGTAAAACTGACTTGCACAGACTATCCGTCTTCGAGCACCCCTGTCTGCAGTACATTGCTCGTGTGTGGTGGCGGCACCTCGTAAGCAACGTGGAAGTTAGACAGCGTGTCTTGTGACGAGGAAGCCACTCGCTCGAGGAGCTCGTCTCACTGCACCAAATGCGGTGGCTGGAACACGTATTGCGCGTGCCTGTTCA